TGTACGAAAGTTGATTTCGCCACAGAATAGTCACTTCTTGATTTGTTTCACTTCACCTTTTATTCACTGAAATCACTCGTTCTTTTGTTGACTCACTCGCTTTTTTGTCTCGTGTCTCACTCACCCACACACCCCCTATCACATTACACGGTGTACACACTTCCGCTCACAATTCACTTCCGCTCTAAATTAATACAAATTTGCTTCCGGTCAATGACGATGAGGTGTTTCGAACATTCCCATTGAATTTCAAACTGATAGCAACCACCGTTGGTCTTTTGACTTGGTTGCCAAATTTACACTGACGCTCGTCTACTCATGCTTGCAAAATTTCTAGCTGAGCACATGCATGTTATATATAAAGTGCATTCTCTAAAATGTGATTCTCCCTCACTATCTCACAATAAATGCTGCTCACATGCTAGCAAGGACCATTGGGATAACCCTATAATAAATGATGATGATGATGATGATGCAGCACTAACTTTTCCAACTATTTTAATTTTCTAAGGTGAGTAGCTGGTCTAGTTTCTCTAAATGTACWGCGAACAATGGAAACTGCGGACCAGGAACACAATACCGAACAAGAAAAATAACGCGAAATCCATACTGCAGCAGTTCTTGTCCTTCACTGAAGGATACACGGTCCTGTTCGGCAGGCTGCTGCCCTGTTAACTGTGCTGTGTCAAGCTGGACGAGCTGGAGTGCTTGCACTTCGACATGTGGAACAGGTAAGAGGAGGTCATAATAGACATCTAAAGCTTTTACATCATGTACCGTATACGCAATGCATTGTAGGATATGTTTTTCGACAAAACATGGCGGATTTCTTTTGTTTTCTGTAAACACTAATCCCACAATGCATTGAAAGCCAAGTATAGTGACGTAAAAGGTTCAGAAGTCTATTCCGCGTATCAATTTATGTGTTATTATTTATATGATAAGCAATCATTTGCAAAAATTCTAACATACCTCATATAAAGCAATTTCATGAGATTTTCGCTCTTTTCTCACTGAAAAAAGTTTACAAATTACAAATTGAAAATATGTTTCAGAATTCCTTAAATTTACTGAAACTTTTTACATAAAAAACTAATCAATTTATCGATTAATATTTATTAATATTAATATTTTTCAATGGTTTTATTTAGGTACCAAAACAAGGACACGAAGAATAACGACAAATCCGAGTTGTAACGGTCAAGCTTGCCCAGTACTTAAATCAACCGTCTCCTGCTCTCAGTATAATAATAAAGATTGCGTCATGTCTGCCTGGTCTTCCTGGTCCCAGTGCTCTAACGGTTGTGGGAACGGCTTAATTACCAAGACCAGAAGGGTAACCATTCAGCCTGTTTGTCAGGGGAAGAAGTGCGGACCTTCATCGGCAAGCAAAGTGTGTACGAGTTACCGAGATAACAGAGACTGTAAGGTAAGACGATTTATRAAAAGACAAATCGATGACCCCTTCCCTTTCATCCATTTAATTTTTCAGTCATTTGTTTATCCATCAGSGTTCGTGGTACTTCTTAAAATCCTTTGAAAAGGTCTTAAATTGAAAAATCATTTTCAAGGGCACTTGGGAAGCGCTTGAAAACACTTTTTTTAAATATAAAAGCTCCTGGAATACTGCTTGAATCTGATGAATGGTTGCTTTTTAACTTTTGGATTGAAATAAGGATATTTTTAAAAAACGCCGCCAGAAACGTCTACAGACATAGAAAAATATCTTCAAATATAGTCCTTTTCAATCGCGTACTCCAAAAAAAAAAAACGTGCTCAAATTTCTCCACAGTATATTAAAACAAGTGTTTTTGCTTTTCAAGGTTGGGTCTTGGACCTCATGGGGTTCCTGTAGTACTAAATGTGCCGTTGGTACGCGTCAAAGAACACGATCTATTACAATCGCTAAAAGATGTCGTGGTAAACCATGTCCAACACTCATGGTAMGTTACACTGACAGTATTCGTAAGACCATAGATTTAGAGGGAATTGGTTAGGAAGGCTTTTGTTGTAGGTTTTTGTGTACTTTTTTCCAAGCGTGACCGTTTAACATCTTTTGTTTAGCCATACTGGTCACATCTTAATGAACCGAGCGAAAATTCTTCTTTTGACTATTTCTTCAAAATGCACAAAATATTTTTCTATSGTCCGTAAGAAGAACGTTGTACACGGTCTTTACTGATTCAACTCCAAAATACATACAGAAGATGTACGAAAGAAGTACAACAAAAGTTTTCCAAACCATTCCCCTCCAACTATGGTAAGACATGGTTTTGGTCTTTTGGAGAGCTGTCCATCTCACAGCACWGTGTTTATATTTCCAGGAAACGTCTCAATGTGGAACAGCCAATGGGGGATGTAAACACATCTGTAGYAATAACGTATGTTCCTGTCGTCCTGGCTACAACCTTGGCTCTGATAGGAAAACTTGCATCGCTAAGAACTGTGGGGCTGYAAAACCGAGCTTTTGCGCGCAAGGTAAAACCAGGGATTTACAGATAGAATGACAGGCTCTTGGGATTGGTAAATTGTTCAAAGCTGGTTAATTTGAGCTAATTGTAAGGCCAAGTAGAAAAAGTACTTTGTTTTCCATCTTTTTGAAAAGAAAAACAACCTTTAGTTTTTGATACTACTAAACCCTTGGTTTTCGTTTCTATTGAGTATTTTCTTTTACTTATTGTATCGCGTTTCTTTTTGTTTACKCATATATAAAAGAGTCTTTTTTACAGAGTTTATATGGGAAACAATTAGAACGGGAAATTTAAAAGGTGGTCGCTTAAGGTAGATGGTCGCTTACGAGWGTGGTCGTTCAAAGAGAGTCAACTGTATGTACTTTTTATAGGAACGAAACTTGGTTCTACTTGTAAATATGCYGTAGTCACGTGTCCTGGTAATAAAACGACCTACCCAGTCACGTGCAGYCTTGGATGTCCCAAATATTACAGCCTTAAAGGTGTTAGTACTATTACGTGCCAGACGAGTGGACGTTGGACTAGTTATAGCTCCACTTACTGCCGAAGAAATAATGATCCTCCGACTCAGGTATACCATAGGTGTTGCTGAATTTGGGGCCTCGGGTGCAGCTGCTCTTTGTGCTATAACTAAAGCATTTGAACTACAGCKGAAGGTTTGGTACTAAAGCTAATTTGTTTGTAGATTTTGCTTTCCGGGTCGAGCTCGGTTGCTGAGAATCAGCCGCGAGGGACAAAAGTTGGAACGTTCAGTTCAATTGACTCTGTTAATAGTAAGGATACCCATACGTATGCTATTGTCAAAGGTGGAAATGGCTTGTTTGAACTAAAGGGGGCAGACCTTCTCACTCTTAAAATTTTCAACTATGAGAGTTCTCCAAACAGGTAAAGCTAGTCAGTCAATCGATCCATCGATCAATCCATAAAACAAACGGTGAATCAATCAATCAATCCATCAATCCATCAATCAAACGGTGAATCAATCAATCAATCCATCAATCCATAAATCGAACGGTGAACCAACCAACTAACCACTAAGACAACCAATCAACGAGTTTATCAATAATCTAATAAACTAAAATGTGTTTTTAAAATATGAAAATACTTTATTTCTAGTTTCGATATCACAATTCGTAGCACAGACAACGGTGTGCCTGCCATGCATTTGGACAAGACTTTTACTATCAAAGTCACTGATGTAAACGAATCTCCAACCGATATTCAAGTAAGATATTCTCACCTTGTTTTTCTGTATTATCTCTTGAGTGCATGCATCATTTTAGTGTATAAATGATTTCATTGTGATTGTATGGGACATGTGTRGCCTTCATCTACATATATAACGTCCATCTAGTTTACTATCAGTAGCTCCTAGCACGATACACAGTATCACTGATCAGCGGTGAACTGTCAAAATCTTTATTATCACGTCATGGCTATTATCATTATCGCCATCAGTATCGTTAACATAAACGATGACTGCATTTATTTTACTAGCTTTCTAGTACAAGTGTTGATGAAAACAGTGATATGGACACCACAGTKGGCATGCTCAGTACCGCTGACCCTGACAAATCACAATCGTTTACTTACCTGCTGCTAGACAACGCGGGCGGCAGATTTAAAGTCGTGAAGAATTTGATCAAGGTTTGTTGCTATGCGATAAATATATAGTTTTTTGTGGCTACTGTCTCGTAACGAGGCTCAACTCACTATGCCTCAAAATCGGTGTGTATCCTTTTTTGCAGGTCCATTCTTTTCCTCCTCCCTAATGTCCGCTAAGCTCTCCACAATCTCCTTAGGGTCATTATGCAATAATGCTGATGCAATAGATTCCTGAAGCTTTTACTACGTCACTACTTGATTTTCAATGCATTGTGGGATCAGTTTCTAGAGAAAACTAAAGAAATCCGCCATGTTCTGTCCCAAACATATCCTACAATGCATTGCGTATACGGTACATGACGTAAACGTTTCTAAAGTCTGTTGTCTATACTATGATTGTTGATGCTTTCCGTAAGGGTATTGGACGTATTTTTTTGTTTTACAGGTTGCGCAGTCCAACAGACTGTGCCTACAATCTGGAGGCCCTAAATGCACATTAAACTACGAACAGCAAAACTCACACGACATAAAAGTTCGCAGTACGGACAGCGGTACACCATCCAAATCTATCCAAAGAAACTTCTCTATTACTATCAATGACGTCAACGATCGACCACGTGACTTGAAATTATCCAATAAAACTATCAAAGAGAATGCCCCAATCAACACAGTGATTGGTCAATTTACGGCACGTGATGAAGATATTAACCAGCGATTGGTNTTGTCTCGTGTCTCACTCACCCACACACCCCCTATCACATTACACGGTGTACACACTTCCGCTCACAATTCACTTCCGCTCTAAATTAATACAAATTTGCTTCCGGTCACACTCCCCTAAAATTCAGAACTTATTTTTGAATTTTACAACTACTGATTATAAATCTACGAAAGTTCATTTACTAAATAATCATCATTGTCTTTGAAATCAGTGTGTCTTAATATGTTCAGTTTGTTTGAATAATCACAATAAATCTTCATTGAACACTAACATTGATATGCATATATACTTCTTGAAATGTTCACGATCCTTGAATGTTCCTTATCACTATCATAACTAATCAAGTCCATGATTGTACAGTTCTAMTAGTCATCACTTGCGTGGTGTCTAAATGTCCAGCTCTTCATCTTCAAGCACAGTCCTAATGACTTGCGTCGCATTCTGCGCTGCTTGTCTGGMGCTCTTGCGTTGCACGGGTTGCTGTGGTGGTACTACGTCGTTCACTACTGTCCGAGTTGCTGCTTTGATCTCTAGCGGACAAACAAGAGATAACGGTCTCTCGAGGTGATGTCCCTTGTGAAGTAGCTTTACTCCCCTGATGACTCCGTCCCTTCCTMTGATCAGCTTTGTAACCTTCCCCTTCTTCCACTGTCCACGATTTTTATCGTCGCCGACTAGAAGCACAATCTCGCCTACMTCTGGATGTCTGTCTGTTCCCTTGTTGRTGCGGTGACTCTCCATCAGACTGTGGATGTACTCTGTTTTCCATCGTCTCCAAGCATGCTCTTTCTTCTCTTTAAGTCGTAAGTGAATCTTACTGACTTCATCCAAATCTTGYTCGTTGTCCTCGATGGTGTGTGATTCTTGACCCCACATAATAACGTTTGGGGTTAGTACTTGCTCTTCACCTGCTTCGCTCTCCATGTACGTCAGAGGTCTGTTGTTGAGATGTCTCTCAATGTCCATCACTACAGCTTCAAGGTGCTCCAATGTAAGGTTCGCTCTTCCCATAGTCTTGTAGAGTGTCTTCTTGACGTCTTTGATGAGGCGCTCGTACATACCTCCCCACCACGGCGATTTGGCTAGATTGAACTGCCAGCGGATGTTCTGTTTAGCTAGGAAGTCTTGTAGAACTTCGCTCTTACGGATCTGTTGGATCCATTCTGCTGTAGTTTTAAATGTTTGCGCATTATCAGATATGATAAGCTCTGGTCTTGTCCTTCGAGTRATGAATGCTGTCAACTTTTGCTGCAATTCTTCGGCTGTCTGCGACTTCGTGACTTCAAGGTGAATTGCTCTTGAAGTTGCGCAAGTGAATATGAGGATGTAGCACTTGCCTTTCTCATCCTTTGATATCTTGTACTCAAGTGGTCCTGCAAAATCCACACCTGTTGTCTGAAACGGTCGACTGCACTCAGTGCGAAACGTAGGTAGTGCAGCTGTTGCTGTTGTTCCATAGGGCTTTGTGCTGAAAATCTTGCACTTCYTACACTCGTTGATCACTTTCTTCACCTTGGATCGTAACTTTGGGATCCAATACTTCTCTCTGGTCGCTGCCATCGTGTTAGGGACTCCCAGGTGAGCGATTTCTGTATGTATGTGGTGTATCAACTTATCTGTGAACGTTCCTTTCTCCAGATAGATCGGCTGGTAGCCTTGGATTCTCCCTTTACATCTTAGCGCGCCTTTGTCATCCTTCACAATCGTCCAGCCTGGACTCTCGAGATCCGTTTCAACTTCTCTTTGCACTCTCTTTATCCAGACTTCCTCTGTGTTGCTAATCTCTTCTACCGTGAGTGGCAAGATTTCTTTTCCACGCRGCGTCTTTGTTCGGCAGTTGTTCACGAACCTCAAAGCCCACGCTGTTATTCTCATGGCTTTCCAGTACGGATGCTTTTCTATTACCACGTCCCACTCATCTGGATCGCGTTCAGCAGCAAGGAGGGCATTCAGTTTAGCTGGGTTGCATTCTTCACTGACGCCTTTCGAAGTCACCAGCTTTGGTTGTTCTGGCCACTCTTCTTCGTGAAGAAGCCACTCAGGTCCAGTAAACCATTCTGCATCCTCCAACTTCTCGATTACGGCTCCTCGACTGCCAAGGTCTGCCAGGTTCTTCTCTGTTGGACAGTACTTCCATTGTATGCCTGTTTGCGCTGTGATTTCCGCAATWTTGTTGACTCGATTTGCCACGAACACTTTCCACTGTTTGCCGGGGTTGCATATCCAGTACAATGCTACCATGCTGTCCATCCACACTGTGATTGACTGTATGGGCCAGTGTTGTAGGGCCTGACAAAGATTCTTTACCATGTTGGCTGCCATGTGACCGCTCACTAACTCGAGTCTTGGGATGGTTGCGTTTCGTTTGGATATCCTTGACTTGGATGTCAGTAGACCTTTTACTGTACCCGTTTCATGTTCGATTACTGCAATGGTTACCACTGAACAGGCTACTTTGCTTGCATCGGCAAATACGTGAAGGTGAACAGCCTTCACTCTCTTGACTTCTCTTGATACGGCTCTAGGGATCTTTACGCTCCTTAGTTGACTAGTCCACTTGAGCCACTGCTTCTGTAACTGAGGTGAGGCTTCGCTGTCCCAGCCTTTAGTTTCTTCGCAAACCTCTCTGTAAATGCGCTTGCCYTCTACGGTTACAGGCGATATAATACCCAGCGGGTCGTAGATGCTTCCCAACTGCTTCAACGCGGTAATCTTTGTCAGCGGTTTGTTAGATTCTGGCTTGTTGACAAGGACTTCCAGGGTATCTTCCCTTTTATTCCATACATGGCCAAGAAACTTGGTTGGGTTTGATACGTCTTTGTCTTCTAGCGTCGYTATGTCGGATTCCCATTTGTGTACTGGGAACTTCGCACTCTCTAGAATCTCTGTAGCTTCACGCTTGAATCTTTCAAGTTCTTCTTCGTCGCATCCGCCTTTCATCAAGTTGTCTACGTAGGTGTTCTCTCTCAATGTCGCTACCGTGTCTTGGAAGATGGACGGTTGTTGGTCGTAGTGATACTGTAAGGTGGCTCCAAGCATGAATGGGCTTGCTTCAGCGCCAAATGGGACTCTAGTAAAGCGCAGGTGTTCCTCTTTGTTGTTCACATCAAACAGAAATCTGAAGGCATCTCTGTCTTCCTTCTTTATACCGATCTGTAGAAAGGCCTTTTCGATATCCCCTAGCAGTAGGTGYGTAGACATTCGGGCCCGGACCATAACATCCCACAAAAGCGGTTGTAACGGAGGGCCAGTGTACATGCAGTCATTTATACTGTTGGCTTGATAACGTGGTTTAGCGCTCGCGTCGAATACCATACGCACTTTAGTCGTTGCTGCGTTTTCTCTTACCACTGGTTTATGCGGCATATAGAACACTCTATCACCATCGGGTATTGCGGGGGCTCTCTCAATTACACCTGCTGCTAACTGATCGTTCACTATCTTTCTATATTCAGCTTCGACTGTTGTGTTTTGTTTCAGCTTTCTCTGTGTGTTAGCAAGGCGTCGTCTGCTTGCTTGCTCGTTGCTGTCTACTAATGTACTACCAGGGATCCATGGTACGCTAACTTCATAACGTCCGTCGTCTTGTCTCACTATGTTCTCTCTGAAATCTTCGTTAACTTGTAGGCTATCGTTCTCTGCTCTATCTTCTACTCCTAACACGTCTAGGGCACATAGTCTTTCACAGTGTTCGTTAATTTCCTTGGTGTACATGCAGTTCGAATCGGCATATTCTGATCCCCCATGGATGACCCACCCAAAGGCCGTTCCCTCTACTATGGGATCTTGCGGTTTCCCTTTGTACACTTGTTCAGTTCTTATTTTGCAATAGAAACTGTCGCTGAGGATGATGTCGATTTGATATTCATCAGATTCAACATAATAAAACGTTTTCCCGCGTGCGTGTGGGTATTTCTGCTTRAGCTCTTTGATAGCTGGTCGCTTTATTGTGGTAAAATCAGGCATTTTACTTCCGGATAGATAGATTTTCTCACTTTCACGATTATCGATGGACTTAATTTCCKCTTCGAAAATAGGCATCGATTGTTTTGCCATTCCGTTGACGGTTRTTATAYCTTTTCTCTCGTGYTTTACTGGCTTTAGGTTGAGCCTTTTAATKGCGTCTTTCGAGATAMAGTTTCTTCCTGATCCCGTGTCCAGAAAGGCCCACAACGTTGAATTTTCAATTTGGACAGGAATTATCGCGGGCAGGCTTTTTTCGTCGGTGGCAGGGGTGTACCCATTAAGCACGCCGTTTGATTGTGACTTCATGCAGATACTCGTATGATGTTTGCCTTTGCACTTGAAGCAACCCCTACTACGGCACTGGTTGGCCTGATGCCCCCCGCGAGCACAATTAAAGCACAATTTATTATCGGCTATAAATCGTTTCCGACTTTCTACTGTGTTGTACGTAGGACAAGAATCCCCCCAGTGGCTCCCTTGACAATATAGGCAGTGTGGCCCTTTCTCCCTGGGTGGTGTGGCTTGTTCCCCCTTGCTGTTACTAAAGAAATGTTTTTCTTTTTTCTTAGTTTCCTCCCTCGGGCTATCTTCTACCCTGTTTCTTTTGAGCCATTTGTTAATTGACTCTAAAAGGGCTGCCATGTCCCAATCCTCCCATTCGTCATCAGTACGCACTAGGTCTGGTTTGACCTGTGGCAGTTTATTGATAGTAGATATGACAAGGGCTTTAAGTGTGTYACCCTCCCCAAGCGATTTCAAAGCGTCATAGTTTCTTGTTAGTTTTTCGTAGAATTCGCGTACTTTCTCGTAGCTAGTTCCGCGAACGGGGGTTAAGTGAATTAATTCATCCATATGGGCTGCACTTACTAACTTCGTATGACCGTACTCGCTTTGTAAACGATCCCATGCTGTTTTGTATCCAGCGGGCCCGGGTTTAAGATTAGCAAATCTATCTCTTACCTTAGGTCCCACTAGTTCAAGAAGATACCCAAACTTCTCTTCGTCAGATATTGTAGAATTGTCAATTTGYGAAATAAACATATTCTCAAACCTGATCCAATCGCTTGGCGTCCCTTTGAATGGCGTGATCTTTAACTCCGGGAGCTTTGTGTGTCGCTGTTTCTCGGCTCGCTCGATCTCCATTTTCTTCTCGGTTAGCTTGATCTCTGCCTTGATCCGTTCGTTCAGTAATTCCTTTTCTTTCTCGTGCATTTTTTGCCTGAATTYCTCTTCTCTCTTGTGTTTGATTTGTAAACATTCCTCTGTTGCGGCATTGCTCTCTTGCTTTTCTCTTTGGTTTAATRTTCCTTSCAATTCGGCTTTTCGATCGATCAAAGGAGCATAGGTTTCTTTTAGTTCCTTYTTCCATTGCCTGATTGCTCTCGAAGTTAATTTTCCTTGCTCGAGTTTTAGTTCTTGTAAKTTCGTAAGTAGCTCGTTGATAGCGTCATGTATAGAGTTACATTTCTGTAATAAGGTTTTKAACTCTTCATAGTCGTTGTTTTGACGACTTTCTTCTGCATCATCAATGAAAAATTCAAGTTTTTCTATTTCTTTATGAATCTTACGTTCTTGTTCTTTTTCCTCGGCAGTAACTTCGACTTCTGCAGTTGGTTGATCGTCGCTCATTGTTTATAAATCTCTAGTTTAATACATACATTGCGTTGTGTTCACTAAATGTCACTTTTCCTGGTCTGTATCCTGGTCACGGCACCACTTGTGTACGAAAGTTGATTTCGCCACAGAATAGTCACTTCTTGATTTGTTTCACTTCACCTTTTATTCACTGAAATCACTCGTTCTTTTGTTGACTCACTCGCTTTTT